TTCTTCCTTCCTTCCTTCCTTCCTTCCTTTCTTCCTTTCTTTCTGCTTTCTCTGTGTATGTATGAGTGCATGTGAGTCAAATATGATTTTTAGATAGGTTATACGAGCTAAATGTTTTTAAGCCATATTGAAGTATTTAGAACATTGGCTGTGCTCTTCCATATTGTCTGTTTCAAGTGTTAATGGGTGGTAATAATAGGAATTTCCTTCAGAATCTTGAAAAACCTTATTGGGTTACCAAAATGGAATAATTGGAAGTCACCAGAAAGAATATGCTTAACGGTGTCTCTCATAAAGCTTTCTGAGGCATTTGTGGGGTGTTAAGCATTGCCCTCTTCATACATTTGCCTTTGAAAGTGCTAATTTTAACATATTATATCCTTAACACTGTATTGGGAATGGGTTGTTTGTGTAACTTTAGGCATGGGTGGAAGAGAAATAAAATGCCTAAAAACTGGAAAAAGTTGCTCAGAAAGGTGTGGTAAGGATTCCAAAGGCAAACTTTCAGGATTTCATAAACTTGACATTGACTGGTCCCATTAGAAGGATTCGTTAATAGCCATTCAACTGACTTTTGTCTGATAATGTGTTAAATGCAGAGAGAGCAAAGCTTTGAAACCAAAAAAGTGGGTAAGCTATTTGGAGTAGGTCTCATTAATTCCTTCCCAAAATGTCAGTTCTACTATTGATGTAGTTATAGTTTGCGGGTGTAAGATTTTAAATGCCTCTTGGGGACCTTCTTTTGCTTTTGGATCTTTTCCTTTCCATATTATTTTGGACCTGTTTATATGGAAGAAAAATCAAGTGATCATGACATTGTTATAAGTCATAGGCCTTCGATAAAAGTTTGGCATACAGAAGTAATGTAAACAAAGCCAGGGCTGCTGGACAGGGTTATGCAGTATGAAAGAGTGACTATCCAAGATGTTCATGGGAACTGAAATCTAAGGCAGCGCTTAAGCATGGTGCTGCTTCACCTACAAGAAGATGTGTAACTTTTTTAATTTATAAAAGGCAAACCTTTTAACCAGAGGACTATGATAGGCTGAGAGGGACACTTGATTCCTAATTTTATAAGGAAACAAGATGAACTGAAAATTACATCTATCAAATATATTATTTCTAAAAATCTCCTGAAGATAGTTTACAAATATATTGGTGATGCAGTGAGTCTGAAGGCAAGGAAACCAGTCAGGAGTATTGTAATAGTGTAAGCATGAATTGATAAGGATTTGAAGTTGCAAATTGTCATGAACAATCCATGAGCAATTGAAAATTGTAGTTGAGAAAGAAAGACTCAATACCAAGAAGTGAGATAGGCTATTAGAAAGTAATAGATTTAATTGTTATCCCATCAAAAGGAGGTAGTCAGGAGATTAGCTGCTTTAAAGAGTGATGTGATGATTACATAGTAGTACTGCCAGACAATAAGACTGAGTAGCCAGCCAGGTTTACCTTTTCCTTGTTCTACTTTCTAGGACACTCAGAGTTGAGTTTAGTGTTTTGAATTCCTTGTTCCGTGTCCTTACCACAACCCTCTTTTCTTCCTCTAAATCAGGACATCTCACTCTTCATTTCATGGATGGATCTCCATAGTCTCATAAAACTCTTGAAATTATGGGCAAACTGCTAATAGACTTTTATTGTAAATTTAATATTATTTTAGCTATCACGTTTAGAATTGTTTTTATTGTAAACTACCTTCAAATTTACATTTGGGAAAATGAATAGGAGACATAAAGAGATGAAAAATGATAGATAGATAGATAGATAATCATTACTGTTACAGCATCTGGAAGTGAGTAAATAGACTTGGGAGTCATCATTTCAAGATTCAAATAAGAAGAAAAGTTCAACTAGAAGCAGACTCAGTACTCAGAAATTTAGTTTAAGCAGGAGGAAATGGGAATGATAAAAATTCTAAAAAAAAGGTCTCATAGCCTATTATAGATAATTAATTACACATCAGCAACACAGGAAAGTTGTGACCAGTGTTCTGAGAAGAAATAATTCCTGAACTCGTGTTATGTACTGGGTGTGAGTAAACAAGATTGTACAAGGTGTGGCTGTGTACTAAAGGACCAAAGACAAACAAGAAGAAAGACCATTTTACTGTGTCCCTGCACACTGTGGCAGGTCATATTGGTGGTTACAATAGAAAATAATGGATTTGAGAGAGGTTACAAAGAAAGAAACAATTGATTTTTGCATTTCACTGATTTGGGGGACTGAAAGAAATTGGATAATCAACGATTACTATGCTTTGAGCCTAGGTCACTGGCTGAATGATTGTGTCAACTACAAATTGACACTTGCCATGGGCATTTCCATCTACCTCTACAAGGATTAAATCAGGTGCTGCTGCAGCTGTTGACTTTCAACATCCCCTGAAAGGAGTTCAGTGTGGAGAGCAGAAATGAGGCACTCTGTGGTTTGAGAAAAAACGGCAGAACAGATCTTCAGATAGTTATACATTTTCAGGAGCTGATTTTATGAGCCCAATTCTTGTATCTCCTCATATCTAGAAAAGCTCTAAAATCTTTCATGGTAATGTCTGCTCCTTGTGCCTGGCAGTAACCCTCATGAGACTAGCAGAAACCTTCTACAAAAAAAAAAAAATATATATATATATATATATATATATATATATATATATATATGCTTGATTGCATGTACTTCCCCTTCATCAAATTCACATATATATTGACTTTCCCCCTACCTCTTTGGAGTAGTTTCTCAGAGCTATCTGAAATGTTATCTACAGGTTATAGTCCTTATTTTGCCCAAAATAAAACTTAACTCACAGCTCTCACAATGTGAATTTTTTTAAGTCAGGCAATGGTATCAAAAATCTCTTCAACAAGTATTTATTAAGCAACTAGTACTTGGAAGGCACTGTGCTCATTGATACAGTGATGAATAGGTCATGGCTCTTGTTCTCAAGATTTTTTTTTACATATTGGGATTTTTGTTCCTACTAGAAGGAACATCATTAGAGAGAAACACCCTCACTCCTTTGAAGAGTAGACAGGAAGAAAAAAAAGCTCATGGATAGTTTATCTAATAATCAAAAGCTAATTTTTCCATATAAATACACTGGGCAAATGTAAATTGACTTGTTAAGATGATCATCTTTCCTCTAATTTGTATGAGCCTATCCCCTAATACATCTTTATCTGAGCCTACCCCGTTCTTGCTTTCAGAAATTTATCCCACTGAAAGACAGTTTAACAAATTTCAGTATGTTTCACCTATTTGGGTGGCGAGAGAGATAGCTTTCTAGACCCCTTTAAACAACATTGATTTTTTCTTGGCACCATTAAATGATGAGAATTTCTGTGCAGAGAAATTTGTGACATTGCAATATTACATTCATTGAAATGGTTGATTAGAAGTAATTGACCTAATTTTACTGGTGTTTTAACCTGACCAGAACAAGCAAATTTGCTTCAAGCCCTGTCACATATTTCTGTGAAATTAAACCGTAGGGATCCTGTTTTCACATTTCTTATAGTTTGTGATGAGCTTTCAAGAAAGTTGTAGTTGTTTCTCAAATTTGTAGCATTGTCTCAGAGATATTTTTTCTTTTATCTTTAAAAAACATGGAAGTCATTTTAAAAACTAAGCTATAGCTTCTCATGGGATGCTGAAGTTTTCACAATTGTGTATGCAGCAATAAATTTAGGCTTTCAGGAATTTATTTTAGAATGAGGGTTTATTTAATTTTTGCCTATGTTGTAGGTCCTATTAAAATGAAAAAGTTAATTTGCGTTCTCTTTGTTCCTTAAAAAACTGGTTAAAAGGAATTTGCTTCTGTACAAATGTACTTAACAGGTTAATTCCACAAACACTTACTGAAAATCTATAACATACCAGAAACTTCTGGGTGCAGTATGAATACATGAGTGAAAATCATGGGGTCTTCTGAGGAATCTCAAAGTTTCACTTTACAATGAAAATTTAAGTTACATATGTTATCTTGTAATCCTTAGAGAAACCTTATATGAATATTATTACCTCCATTTTACTGATGAAGAATCTGAGGCTTAAAATCTTCCTCAAACAACTTGTCCAAGGTTATACAACTATAAGTAGCTTGGCCAGGATTTCAAACCATGCCCATCCAGGGCCTCTGTTCATTTCAGTAAATTATGTTGCTTCTTTCATGAGAAGGATACTTTGCCTTCTTTTTCACACTTTATATAATATTCAACATAAAATTTTGCATGGATTAATCAATTATATGTTGACTAATTTATTAATAATATCCATCAGCTATATGAAAAAGGTCACTCTCGAAAGTGAGCCAAAAAGAACCATTTTTTTTACACACTGGCTGTTCAGCCTCATTTAGCTTCTTGATGAAAGACTATCACTTCTCAGATGGGAAAGCATATAATGTGAGATGTAACCACAAAAAAAAGAAGGAGACCTTCTCACAGGGCTTTTCAGGTGCCTGAGTGCACTCTCAAATACATTTGTGTGAGGGAAATATAGGGCATAATCTGACCTGTAGTTTTTTCCATCCTCTCCTATTGATTTACTTCTAGAGCCAACGTTTCTTAAACTTAAGCACTCTGGTACGTGCTGGGTATTCAGCAATTATTAAAAACATAGTCCCTGACTTCCACAGATTTACAATTTAATCAGATTTTTAACAATCCACTTCACTTTGTGTATCTATTATAACTCAACAAACCTTAAAAAATAGTCTACTTTGTAAAAGTTGTGTGACTTCCCTTATTTGAAGGACCCATTGACACAACCAGGACCT